TGCACCGGGAGCAGCCTCGGCTTTGTGCTCGCTCCCAGCCCCGCTCCGGCGTGGCCGGGAGCGCAGACAAAGGCTGAGCCGGGCCCCGGGCCCCCCCCGCCGCCGGGAGAGGGGGGGTCAGCCCAGAGCCAGGCTCCTTCCAGGGAGCACACCCCGGCACGCAGCAACGATTTACCCCTGACACTGCAGCAGCGCCCTGGAAATCCTCTTCCCGGGCTGCCCCAGCGAGAAATCACATTTTCCAGGCAAGAGTAAATGCTCATTTTGCAGCACAGCAGCTGTGTAGCAAACCCGACCTTCTCCCAGTCCTCCCTTCCCATGCCATTAATATTATATTGGGAATGGGCTATTCAGAGGGGTGGGGGGGAACACAAAATTGCCCCAGTTTAAGGATTCCCTCGAGCCCCGCAGCCCGGCGGGGAGGCCGGGGCAGAGACACAGGTTCCTACTTGCGGGCACCAAGAAAGGGGATGGTGCCCAATGCAGCAGGGTGGCTGCACATGGTCGGCTCCACCGCCGCTGGCAGTGGGTGACTAATGGGCTTCTGATCCGCACCGGCGAGGGATGCTCGTCCCCGGCTCCCCCGCCTCGTGCTGGGCTTACTGTTATTTTTTGCCTTGCTCCTTTGGCCACCGGCAGCAGGCAGGCAGCGGTGAAGGCGCTTCTACGGGGTTTCCTACAACCGGCCTCACCTCTGCGGAGCTGGGGACGCTGGGGACAGGGCAGGGCACACCTAGGGACACAGCACCCGCTGGCACTGCCTCGAGCTTCGCTCTTGAGGTCACTTGCATGGAAAGAGGGTTCACTGGAAGGCGGCCAAGCCCGAGCTGGTGTGATGGACATTGCAGGGCAGGGAGTGATGGTGGGCTGCACGGGACCCTCCCTGCAGAGGAGTTTTGCTCGGAGCCATCTGCGGGCGAAGCTTTTCCTGCTCTGCCCCAGGAGCTGCTCGGAACCACCCTCCACAGCGCTGGAGCTGCTTGTGGGGAGGGTCCTGAGCCTCCACCAGCACCTGGCCCTCCCAGAAAAGGGATTTTTGGAGTTTTACAGCCAGTGTTGGGTTTTTACACGAGATGCCTCATCTCAGCCATGCCAGTGCTGCAGGCACTGGCCGGGGGTCCAGCCATGTTTCATCCCCAATGGCCAGGACCCCTCCTCAGGGGGCTGGCAGGGGCTCCCCTCACCTGCAGGCACCAGGGTTGCCCCAGGAGCTGAGCCCTCCTGCCCATCAGCTGCCTCCTGCCAGGTCTTCAGCCTCGGCTCTTGATAGCAGAACTGGGAAGCACACAGAGTTTGGGGACAGATGCCCCGGATGGTCCTGCCCAGGGTTTATCCATCAGCTGGGAGAAAAAGGCTGAGAGCAAGTTGCGGTTGAGGGACCCAGGCTTTTCCTTGTTTGACTTTAAAAGAAAAAATTAATTTGCCAGCCCTATAAATAATTAATGACTTATTCCCCAGGAACTCTGAAGTACTCATAGAAATGCTTATATTTGTTAAGTTGTATTTTTAGCTGCTGCTAGTTGGAGGAAAACAAGTGCCTTTCCCTCATTCAGTGTTTTTGTAAATCATGGCTGTCTCTCATCCCCTGAGGGTTTGTTTTTTTTCCTGATTGACATACTTAGTTCATAATGGTCAGGTTTTTATAACCCAGAAGCCTAAAATGCCGTCCCTGAGTGCATATGCAGCACCATCTCAAGCACAGAGCAAAGCAGCAGGACCAGCCCCAAGGGCCAGCTGTGGGGGATGGGGACGATGTCCCACATCCAGCCCGGCTCCTGCCTCCTCCTGCCCCTCGGCACGGCTGCAATCGGCTTTCCCACCTGTCAGATGGATGGGTGCCACCCCAGCAGTGCCACTCGCTGGCCCCGGGGCTGGAGAAGGACAGGTAGCAGGTTTGGCACAAGAGGTGTGACGGCGGCAGACGATGCCCCTGGGCTGGCGGCAGCGTGGAGCAGGAGAGATGCTGTGCAGGCTGCAGGGGCTGCTTGAAACCCTCTGTGAAACAGACCCCTCTCCCTGCTCAAAACATGCCTGGTAAAACCAGAGCCCACCCCCGAGCACAGAACGTACCTGAGTGAGCATCCAGGCCTCCTTCAGCCAGGCTGTAGCACCCACCGGGTGCAAAGCATAGCATTACTTCAGCCTCTTCCTCCTGTTCTTCATCCTCAGGTGTGTGCTGGGCTGTGCTGGGACCCACAGCAGCATCACTGATCCCCCTCAGCTGGGGAGCTGCCACCTCCCTCCACCGGCCGCCCAGGGATGGGCTCTCAGCCCACCAGCCCCTCCGCCTGTCGCATGGGCCAGAGGGAGGTTGGTCCCTGATCCCGCAAAGTTAGGATGGGTTTGGGTCTCCCCCGTTTGCTGGGAGGGGAAATCATCACTTGGCTGCCTGGCTTTTGCAGCTGCCCCATGCCAAGGGCGGCTTGGCTTCTTGCAGGACGAGGTGTCTCCTGGCACATCGCTGTGCTTACGCATTAGGGGAGGGCCAGGGAGGTGTGATGGGGTGGCAGCGGGGCTCTTGGGGTGCTTCAAGGGCTCTTGTGGATGGCTTGGTGTGTCGGGCTGAGCCCTTTTTCCCTGGCTTCCTGCCCCAGGTGCGGCTGGTCATCGCAGAGAAGGGGCTGCCCTGCGAGGAGCGGGATGTCAGCATGCCCCTGATGGAGCACAAGGAGCCTTGGTTCATGCGGCTCAACCTGGGGGAGGAGGTGCCTGTCATCATCCACAGGGACAACATCATCAGTGATTACAACCAGATCATCGACTACATGGAGAAGAACTTCACAGGAGGTAAGGAAGGGGATGGGCTGCATCTCAGGGGGGAACTTGGGTCTAATCCAGATGCCGTTTGCCAAATGCATCCACTTTTGCCTGGAAAGTTTCAGCTTTACCCCAGAAGAGCAGTGAGCCACCAGCCCTCCCCAAACTTCTACATTTTCCCATGAAAATGAAGGATTTCCAGCAGAAATCCCCAAATGTCCCTTGGAAGTGCTGCTGGAGGGCTCTGGCAGAGTGGGTATAGCTGGGTTCCCCCTTTTTCTGCCTTGGAGGCCACATTCTGCCTTGGAGGCACTGGAACAGGTTGCCCAGAGAGGTTGTTGAGGCCCCATCGCTGGAGGTGTTCAAGGCCAGGCTGGACGTGGCCCTGGGCAACCTGGTCTAGTTGGAGGTGTCCCTGCCCATGGCAGGGAGGTTGGAACTCGATGATCTTCAAGGTCCTTTCCAACCTAAACCATTCTATGATTCCCAAACCAGACTTTATCCCCCCATCCCCGTGGTGTGCGGTGGCCTCTCACCAGAGCTGTGGCTGGGGCATGGGAATACTTCTGTGTTTGGCCACCTTTGTGCTTTGGCCTTGGGTAACAGTATAAAGAAACTCCAGTAACTCCCCAGAAGCCGCCCCGCTGAGAGAAGGTGGGTTTGAGCAGGGTGCTGCTGCCCTTCTCCCCTTCCTCGATGAGCCCTGTGCCACCAGCCGTGGGCAGGGGACCCTGCCATCCCCAGTGCCGCTGTGCCTCTGAGAAAACTGACTCTTTCGAGTCAAACAAAGCCAGCGGTGCTGGGGACCGTGGGAGGATGGTGTGACACAAGCCCAGAGGAAGGGACAGCCTGGAGAGGGAAGCTCGTATTCCCCCCGGAGCAGGGCTGCGGTCAGTGGCAGTGGGAGCCCGGCACATTGGGATACTGAGATGGTTCTTGAAGGTGGCTGTTTGCAGGGCCGCTGTGGCAAGCAGCTTCTCCCCAGCATCTCACGTCCCTTTGCCCTCATTTCCCCAAACCTGCGGGCTGTCAGGCTGGGACGCTCCGCCGGGGAGGCTTCAAAGCTGAGCAGGGAGCTCGGGCTGTGCCGTCACGACGCT